ACTCAGAGTGATTTTCTAGCTGCCAGGTCTGGGACTCAAACCATAGTTAGCCATGTGGGAGTCAAGCACCTTAACCATCTCACCACCTGCCAGTTCATGTCTTAGTTTTTAACAAAAAGTTTAAAAGAAGAAGAACTTAATTTAAAAATAAGCCAAAGGGGCTTGCAGGTAGCATGGTGGTTGAGGGTGCCAAACTCCTACATGGCCAACCACAGATAGAGTCCTAGACCTGGAGACTTGCTTTCTCACTTCCCCTCTCTCTCTTACTCTGTCCATCTCTGGTCAAATTAAAATAAGTACGGTTAAATAAAATAATTCTTTAAAATAAATAAATAAATAAAAATAAGTAAAAAATTTATAGAATGAGGATATGAAAAAAATGTTTTCGTACAATAGTACAGTGTGTTTTTAAAGCTATTATTACAAGTCAAAAAGCTTTAAAAAAATAAATGCGTATGAAGTAAAAAAATGTGCAGTAAGCTAGGGTTAATTTATTACTGAAGGAAAAAAGTTTTTACTCAATGGGCTATAGCCTAAGTATAGTTTTATAAAGTGTACAGCTGTGTGCAGTAATGTCCTAGGCCTTCATTTTCACTCACCACTCAGACACACAGAGCAACTTCCAATTCTGTAAGCTTCACTCATGACAAGTGCCCTACATAAGTGTACCTTTTTTTTTTTTTTTTGGAGAGGTTTTTGCTATAAGGCATGTGCACTCACTGGAAAGACAGAGAGACAGAGACAGAAAGCGAGAAATCACCCCCCAGGGCGGATGGTCATGCCACAATCCCTTCTCCTCCATTCTCTTCTCGGGATCTTGGGCACATGCGCTCGGCATGAGTTTAAGTCACCAGGTCCAGGACTCGAACTGCAGTCGACTACATGGGAGTCCAGCAACATAACCATTATGCTAACTGCTGGTCCCATAAGTGTACCATTTTTCTCTTTTATGATGTATTTTTACTATATCTTTTCTGTTTGGATACAGGAATACTCACCACTGTTACAATTGCCTATCATATCCAGTAACATGACATATAGGCTTACAGCCCAGGAGCATTAAGTATACCACAGCCTAGGAGTGTGAAAGGCTATACTATCGAGGTTTGTGTAAGTACAATTTATGATACTCGCATGATAAAATTAACAACACATTTGTCAGAACATGTTCCTGTTGTTATGCAATGCATGGCTGTATATTTTTTTAAAAAGATCATGACTGGGGACCAGCAGCTAGCATAATGGCTATGTCACTGGACTCCCAAGTAGTCAACTGCAGTTCGCATCCCAGACCTGGTGGCTTAAAACTCACGCCAGGCGCGTGTGCGTGCGTGCACAAGATCCCAAGAGGAGAATGGAGGAGAAGGGATTGCGGCGTGGCCATCCCCCCTGGGGGGTGATTTCTTGCTTTCTGTCTCTCTGTCTCTGTCTCTCTGGCGAGCACACGTGCCCTATAGCAAAAACCTCTCCAATAAGTAAATAAATAAAAAGATAATGACTGGGCCAGCAGATGGTGTAGCGGTTACATTGCTGGACTCCCACATGGCCTACTGTGGTTTGAGTCCTGAACCTGGTGGCTTAAAAGTCATGCCAGGCATATGTGCATGTGCCCTAATTCCCAGGAGGAAAATGAAGGTGAATGGATTGTGGCATGGCCATCCCATCTGGGGGTTGATTTCTTACTTTCCTTGTCACTGTCTCTGTCTCTCTGGCAAGTACATGCACCCTAAGGCAAAAACCTATAAAAAAAAAAAAGAAAAAGAAAAAAGATCATGACTAATCATAAAGAAAATGCAAATCAAAACTACAGTATCAGGGCTAAATAGTGGAGCAGTGGTAATGCAATGCTCTGTGAGGCGGATCTACACAGAAAGGTTCTGGTCTGGAGAACTCCATGAAAAACTAGGCATGTGCATGTTCATGTTCATGAGCTAAGGCCAGCTAAGATTACGGGTGAATCAGAGTGAAAACACTATTGGAGGCACCATCTCTCTGTCTCTCTCATGAAAGAAAGAAACTTAAAACAACATAGTATCACCTAATTCCCATTAGAATGGCTATTATCAAGGGCCAGCTTCATGGCATGGTGATTAAGGCGGCTAGATCTAATTGCTGTGTGGTTTGAGTCCTAGACTTTAGAAACATGTAGAATGTATGTGTGCATGCATGTCCAAGATCCTGAAAGGAGAGACGGAGAAAAGATTGACATGACCTTCTCCATCAGGGGAGGGGGTGCATCACCCTGTCTTTCTGATGAACAGCAAATAAATAATAATTAATAAATAAATAAGCCTATTAACAAAAAGACAGTGTTCCCAATAGTCCTATTTAAGAGAGTGAGGGTTTTTTGGGGGTTTTTTTTGAGAGGTTTTCGCTCTAGGGCACATGCGCTTGCCAGACAGACAGAGAGAAAGCGAGAAATTCCCCCCCAGGGGGGATGGTCACGCCGCAATCCCTTCTCCTCCATTCTCCTCGTGGGATCTTGGGCACGCATGCACACGTGCCCGGTGTGAGTTTTAAGTCACCGGGTCAAGGACGCGAACCACGGTCGACTACATGGGAGTCCAGCAACATAGCCATTACGCTAACTGCTGGTTCCCAAGAGTAAGTTTTTTGTTTTGTTTTTTGTTTTTTTGTTTGCTGTGGAGTGCATGTGCTTCCTGGAGAGAGAGGGATTGAGAAAGCACCAACCAGGGAGGATGGTCATGCCACAATCCTTTACCCTACACTCTCCCCTCAGGATTCTGGGCACATGTATACATGCCCAGTGTGTTTTCCAAGCCTCCAGGTCCAGCACTTAACTGCAGAGTCAGCTATGTGGGATCCAGTTGCCTTAACTACTGTGCTACTGGCTGACCCAAGAATCTCCATTTCAATTTCTGCAATAGCATTGTCAACTTTATCTATCCTGCATGTCCCATCCTCTCCCAAAAGAAAAAAGGCTTGCATTTTTTCTGTACTTCATTTGAATAGTAGCCAGCAGAGGGAGCATGAGGTGCTCTAGGGAAGAGGTGGGTTTTCCCAACAATTTAGGAAAATTAACCCCCATACATAACTGCAGGTATTACTGCAGTTATCTCACATGAACTTTTTTTTTGGAGAGGTTTTTGCTATAGGGCACGTGCGCTCGCCAGACAGACAGAGAGAGACAGAGAGACAGAAAGTGAGAAATCACCCCCCAAGGGAGATGGCCACACCACAATCCCTTCTCCTCCATTCTCCTCTCAGGATCTTGGGCACGCACGCACACTCACCCAGCGTGAGTTTAAGCCACGGAGTCCGGGACTCAAACCGCAGTCGACTACGTGGGAGTCCAGTGACATAGCTATTACACTAACTGCTGGTCCCTCACATGCACTTTGAAGTCTTAGTAATAGTTATCTGAAGAACGTGATTTTCTCTTTGAAACATGAGAACATGATTTTGAACAAGAAACTTAAAAACGGTTATTATCAGGTCAACCCTGTAGCCTAGTGGTTAAGGAAGCCTGATTCTACCTGGCCAACTCTCGTTTGAATCCTGGCTCTGTTGGCTTGAAAACATGCTGGGGTTTGTGTTTGAGTCCAAAATCCTAATGGATTGGAGCAGGGATTGAGGAGTGCTTTCACATTCTCTCTGTCTGGCAAACATTCACCCTCTCTGGCAACTAAAAAATAAATGATTGAGCTGGCTCTGCTGCCTAAAGGCATCTGAATCCCACATGGCTGACTTTTTTTTTTTCTTTTTTTTTTTTTTTTTGAGAGGTTTTTGCTGTCGGGTGTGTGCGCTTGCCAGAAAGACAGAGATAGAGAGATAAAAGTGAGAAATCACCCCCCCCCCGTGGATGGCCACACTAAAATCCCTTCTCCTCCATTCTCCTCGGGATCTTGGGCACGCATGCACATGCGCCGGCGTGAGTTTAAGCCACTGGGTCCCCGCAGTTCCATGGGAGTCCAGCGACATAGCCATTACACAAACTGCTAGTCCCCCCCACATGGCTGACTTTACTGTTGGAGTCCCAGACCCAGCAGCTTCAGAGACACAACAGAACTCTTAAATAGGGGCTGTATCTAACTGATGACTATCTTCCCTAATTTGAATTTAGGATTTACAAACAGATTGGGATGGAGATGAAAATAAGGGAAGTTATAACCATTATGTTCATCCGTAAATTGGTATGCCAAAAATGCAAAAGTATTAGTATGAAATAAACTACGAACATTTACAATTTAACACTAGAAAATCAAAAATTTAGATAGAGTTCACAGGCCAACTCCATGACATAGGCTAATGTGCTGCTCAAGAGACACTGAATCCCATAGTCTGACCACAGTTCATATCCCTGGCTTGTCTGCCCTGAAACACACCACGATCATGCCTGAAAGTGCAAGATCCAGTGGGCTGGAGGAAAAGGCCACAACTTAACCAGACCCCATGGAGCATGCTCTTCTCTAATTCACCCTTATGTAAGCATGCATGCACTCTATCTTGAATAAAACAAACCAATTACTAAAAATAAATAAATAAATAAATAAATAAATAAATAAATAAATAGGGCTGGTCTCTCCAGTGAGCACACAGGCCCTATACCAAAAACAAACAACCAACCAACAACAAAAACCTCTCTTTAAAAAAAAATCTTATTGAAAGCTGTGGAGACGGCACTGGGTAGAGTTTTCAAACAAGTTCATCCAGCTCTCAATGTCCAGGAGACCCTAGCCAGGATCTCAGTATATGTGCTTCTAGGTTGTTTGTTTTACTATGAAAACGTGTTACTACTGTATGAAAAATGGAGAGGAAAAAATAAGACATGGGATGCTCTGGTTTGAACGTTTTTGCCCCCTCCAACTTTCATGTTGACACTTAATCCTCATTACAACAGGATTGGGAGGTGTGGTCTTTGGGAGGTGATTGGGTTATGAAGGCCTCAAGATTACATTAATGCCATTATAAAAGGGCTTGACCGAGCGAGGGGATTTCCTTTTCATCTTTTTGCCTCACCTGCTGTGAGGACACAGCATTCTTCTCTGGAGGTGGCAGCAACAAGAATTATCCAGGAAGCGAAAAGCAGTCCTCGCAGCCAAAGCTACCAGTGCCTTCATCTTGGACTTTCCAACCTCTGGAAGGAAAATATTGTTGGGCGGCTGCGTCGGCGGCGGTGACGGGTGGGAAATGGCGGAGTCCTTGGCCTCCATCTTCAGCACCGAGAAGGACAAAGTCAACTGTTCGTCTTATTTCAAACTTGGAGCATGTCGTCATGGAGACAGATGCTCTGGGTTGCACAATAAACCGACCTTTAGCCAGACCATCGTGCTCCTGAACATTTACCGTAACCTCCATAACTCCTCCCCGTCTGCCGGCGGTTTGCACGGTGCTGTGAGCGATGCTGAAATGCAGCAACACTATGATGAGTTTTTCAAGGAAGTGTTTACAGAAATGGAGGAGAAGTACGGGGAAGTGGAAGAGATGAACGTCTGCGACAACGCGGGAGACCACCTGGCGGGGAACGTCTACGTCAAGTTTCGCCGCGAAGAAGATGCGGAAAAGGCTGTGATGGACTTGAATAACCGCTGGTTTAACCGGCAGCCGATCCGCGCTGAGCTCTCGCCTGTGACCGATTTCCGAGAAGCCTGCTGCCGCCAGTATGAAATGGGAGAGTGCACCCAAGGCGGCTTCTGCAACCTCATGCACCTGAAGCCCATTTCCAGAGAGCTGCGGCGGGAGCTGTACGTACGCCGGCGCAGATCGGGGTCCGGGTCGGGAGAGGGGCGCTCGGGGTCTAGAGACGGAGGTCCTGGCAGCTGCCCGCGGCGGTGGACCGGAGCGTGACAGGAGGCAGTCGAGAGACTGAAAGATCTGTGTGATTCTGAGTCATGCCATTTTTACCGTAATGTCTGCAAGTGTTGTAGTTGATAACCAAACCAGTTCGTAATGGAGATTTAATAATAAATAATTCACAAACAAAAAGATGGGTTTCTGAATAAAATTTGTAATGATACAGTAAAAAAAAAAAAAAAAATTGTTTGGCGAGCATAAGCTGCAGTTAACTGCAGCCAGAATTCTGCCAGGCCGTGGGTGTTGTCCCCGCGGCCTCCACTGCTCAATACAAGGCGGCCTGGAGCAAGGCAGACTGGCTATGCACCTGAAGAAGCCGGAGGAGCAGTGGACTGCAGAGAACATAACGGGATCCAACCTTGACAAGAGATCCAACCTTGACGTGAAGTTCCCTGCACACTAGGAGTCCATGGAGGCAGAGTTCTAGTCTAGCACAGTGGGTCTTGTGACCTGAACGACATGAAGGCCAAGCAGGAGGTGCTGGTGAAGGAGCAGTCGAAGGAGGTGCAGCTGAGGCTGGAGAAGGCAGTCAAGGAAGCCAAGCTTAAGATCTCCGGCCTTTCTTTCACCCTGGAGGAAGGAGGCTAGCAGGAGGAGGAGGTGGCCGTGCTCCAGGAGGAACTGGGTAGGGAAGAGGTCACCACCAAGAGGAAGCTAGGAAAGAACCCAGATGTGGACACTAGCTTCTTGCCTGGCTGAGACCATGAGAACCGGCTCTGGGAGAGCTTCAGCTGAGTGGGAGGCCAAGCAAGAGAAGATCATCTTCAGTGACTGGAAGGCTCTGGGCAACCGAGCACTGTCACGATGAAAAGGGGCAACACGATGCAGCCGTTCCTGCAGAAGGTGCTCGAAATCCTGCACAGACTTCAGAGAGCTCAGGTCAGCAGGGGTGAGGCAGTTCCTGTATATCAAGGACTTCATCGCCACCCTCCTCCCTCCACAGGCTTCTACTTCATCACCAAGGCGTGAGGAAAGAGCGGGCCACTCTAATTTTGACGTTCCCAACGACATGCTGCTCAATGACACCACCCTGAAGGATGAGTCACACGCGGGGAAGGTGGAGCGGAAAAAAATAGTACCAGAAGAATAAGTATATTTTTCTTGCGAGCTGCAGGAAGCCCTTTGATCCCGGAAAGTGGGCACAAGTACCCAATCTGGTGAGGCAGCGACACAGAGGTGGCATGCCCTTGGCTCCAGGGTGTCTCCAGGACACCAAGCGCCTGGCTCCTCTCTGACCTTGGCAGGAGGGCACAGAACACTTGCAGTTCCTCTCTACCCTGGTGCTGTCATTTACTGCTTTCTTCTTCTACAATAAAGAGATGTGCACATTAAAAAATAAATAAATAAATAGGACTGGCTCATAGCACAGAAATTAAGCACTGCACAGAGGAAGCTAAATCCCTCATGGCCAATCATGGTTCCATTTCTGGCCCTGGCAGTTTCAGAAAAACGCTGAGTGTAAAGAAATGTGCCCCAGGACCCTGATGGGAAAGAAAATTGAAGAAAAAATGCTGTAGTGTGACCAGACCCTGGTGGTGGTGGTGGTGATGGTGGTGGTGATGGTGGGTGGTGGGAGGCAGTGGGATAATGTGGTACTTTCTTACATGCCCTCTGGCATAAATAAATAAATGTCATGAAATCCATACAACAAGCTAATACCACACTATTTAATTTAGTTTCAATATTAAGGTTTATTTTTTTCTTCCAGAGTGAGGTTAAGTAACAATTTAAATAATAATCAGAATGTATAAATGAACATCCATTCAGGTAAAACATCACTACTTTAAAAGTGGCTATCTATGAAATATTTTGCATGTAATAAATATACTTTATGTTTAGGTTAACAGGCACCATCTTGAGAGCAGTTTTTTTTTTTAACCAATAAATAAATTACATTCAAGAAAACAAGGTGTTTATATCTGAAGTATGATATATCCTTAAATGTTTGTCTTCATATAGCACCCAAACTTCAAAACTGTCTAGGAAGTATCTCCTAAAATATAACTCATACTTTAAGTCATAAAAATAAAGACTAAAGGAAAAAAATCAATTTAAGACAAAATTTACAGTTTATATTCTTAGATCCCCATTCAATAAAATATCAATTGGCAATTTATTAAAAGTAAATGAACTGTATATATATGCAATCTGTTAGTGCTGAAAATCTGAAATATATATATATTTTAAAGTCACTCTTCTGACCGTATTTAAAATATTGCATCTCTGGTGGCAAACCTGAAAACTATCAAGTATTTTATTTTCCTAGTTTTCATACTTCCACCCTGACTCCTACCCACTTTTATCTTTCAACATCCATTTTGCATTTTTTTTTCTTTTTGTAAATACACGAACTTATATCTCAAACACGAAACACTGACAATACTCCTTGATAAACACAAGGAAATCCCAGAACAGTCCAGGCCTACAGCTTTGCTCACAAAGTGCGGCACAGGCTAAATGACAGGGGAAAATATCAATGGCCCTTTACATTGACAGAGTCAGAATGCTCCTGAGAGTCCGTAACTGTGAATTGGATTGCTGAAGTAATCCTGAAGAAAGTTTCAACAGATTTTGCAGGCAAGTATCAGAGAATAAGTCTTTGATTGATAATTTTTCTATTTATTTCTGCCAAGGCAACTGAAAACACGAAAGCCTTTTCATCAGAGAGGTTAGCATAGATGTCAATTTCCTTTTCCTGTTTCTCTGTCAAGAAAAAAAGGGGGAAGTTTAATATAAAAACAATAGATGCAATAATTTCTTTAAAAATTAGGCTTTCAAAATATATCCTTAAATGACCAATGTTATAAATAATACAACATACATAAAATGTTATAAAGTACTGTTAAAGAATTGAAGTTTTTTTAAAAAAATTACACAAAGGAGTTATTGAAATGGAGACTATTTCTATATACACACATTCTAATAGTTACATCATTTTTATAAGAATCTCATATATTTTTCTCCTCACCCATATAAGCTCATTGTCTCAATTAAAATTAATTTTCTCGTCCTAAGAGATGATCACTTCTGAAAAATGGCAACTCTACACATATATTAACAACTTCACCTTAAGCCAAGCTGTAAGAAATAAGAACCAATATTTATTTCTATTTTTCCCCTCCTAATTATACTGGGTCGTCAGGAAAGTCATGACATATTTTTGCACAGAAAAATATATCATGATTTTCTCGGCAACCTAAAAAGTGTAATCCAAGTTCACTGTAGGAAATTTGGAAATAAGGAGCAAGTTAAAATTACAATTAACTTCTTAGTGTATATTCTTTTGCATTTTTTTCTCAGTCTCTACTATAATTCTTGTATAAAATTTGTTTTGACATTTTAGTCAAAGTTAACCATGTGTAAAATTTAGTCAAATCATTTTTACAAAATTATAAAAAAGCAGAAGTCCTTCCTCCATGGACATTTCTTGTTCTCAAAATACACTAACAATTTTTTAGTTGCTTCTTGTTTTTTACAAAAACAAATCTATCTCTAAGTAACACTTTGTAAGATGCTACTTTTTATTTTGAAGCAATATTTATTCATTTTCTTTCATGGAAAATTGGTTTTATTTTTTTATATCTCTTTCCTCCACAACACTCTTCCCATCCCATCTTATTAACAGTTTAAATTACAATTTCAGTAACATCAGCTTTCAATGTATACATTGTGACTATGTAAGTGATTCCACTTTTCTTGCATATTATTTTCCCTAAAGTGATTTTTATTTGCTTTGTTTTCATTTTTTAAAAAGATTTTTTAAATTTTGCTGTACAGGGCAGTACACTCACTCGAGACAGAGGGAAAGTGAGAAAACATGCCCCAGGAGGGATGACTATATTGAAATCTCTTCTCCATTCTCCTCTAGTTTTTGGGTTCATAGGGACCTGTGTGTTTTTCAATCCACCAGGTCCAGGACTCATACTGTGCAGTCAGCCACATGGATTCAACTATCTTAACCACCATACTACAGGCTGGCCCCTGCTTAATTTACATTTCTATCAATAATTCAACCCCAAATCTCTCTTGGTTATGTAAATCTTCTTTCAAGATATTTATACATATTAAATCATTTCATAATTTTATCATCTTGTAGAAATTTCTTCAAGTCTTCCAACCTGCTACAATCTGAAATGGTTACTCTGTAGGCCTGCTGCATGATCTTGAAATCTTTCCTCAACAACACACTGGACAGTCTTCTTATCTCTTTAAGTTGAATCCTCTCTGTCCTAGACCTCTGGATATCTTCTCTTTGTTTTAGTCTTCATTTTGGTGGTATGCAGCTTGCAGTATCTTCCTATGAAAAGCAGCACGGGTAGCAAATTTTCTGAGATCTGGAATATCAGGAAGTATTTTTATCTATCTTCACATTAACTTATAGTTTTGTTGAGTAAAGACTTGTAGATTTCCCCTTGGAATTGTGAAAGTAATAAACTGTCTTCTGAATGCTGGAAACTTGGTGAGAAGACTCAAAAACCTTTTTTTATAGTTTTTTGTAGTTGTTAATTATTGCTAAGTTTACACCCAATTAAATACAAAGATCCTTTAAATGTACAATTAGATGAGTTCTGACCAACATATATATAACACCATGTAATCTACACCTCAATCAAAACTTAGAAATTTTCCTTCACTCCAGAAAATTCCTCACATTCCTCCCCATTCGCACTAGCAATCACTATTTTACTTTCTGGCACATGGATTCATTTTGTCTGTTCCAAAATTTTATATAAATGGCATCAAATATTATGTACTCTTCTGTGTCTAGCTTTTTTATGCTCAATATATTTTTTCTCCCCAAGACCCTGGGTCCAGGACTAGAACCACACAGTTGGCCAGGTGAGATCCAGCCACCTTAACCACCACACAACTGGCTAGCCTCCCCCAGAACATTTTAGAAATTCATTGATAATGTTCACATATCAGCAATCTGTTTCCTACTTAGTATTCCACTATATGAACTCCAATACCATTTGGATTCTTTTCTCTTTTTTTTCTGCCAAAAGAACTGAAAGATTTTTCTCTTTAACCAAAGAGGTATGAAATATATTTGGTTTAATTTCTATTTGGTAAAATTTCTATTTTTAACCATCTACTGAACTGAGAATTTTATGAGCAACTTTTTTTTTTTTTTTTTTTGAGAGGTTTTCACTATGGGGCGCGTGTGCTGGCCAGAGAGACAGAGAGAGACATAGAAACAGAAAGCGAGAAATCACCCCCCAGGGGGGATGGTCACGCCACAATCCCTTCTCCTCCATTCTCCTCTCAGGATCTTGGGCACGCACGCACAAGCGCCCGGCATGAGTTTTAAGCCACCGGGTCCGGGACGCAAACCAAGGTCGACTACGTGGGAGTCCAGGGACACAGCCATTATGCTAACTGCTGGTTCCCTTTATGAGCACTTCTAATAAGGAAACTCAGAGCCAGTAGGTGGAGTGGTGAGTAAGGCACTGGACTCCCACATGGCAAACTGCAGTTCAAGTCCCAGACCTGGCGGCTCGCTTTCTCACTTTCCTTCTTTGTCTCTTTCTCTGGTGAGCACATGTGTCCTATACCAAATAAAAAAATAGTAAATAAAATTAAATAATCCTTTAAAAAAATATACACACACATACACACACACACACACACACACACATTATTCAAGGACCCAAGGATACACACACACACACATAAGGGCTACATTGCTGGACTCCTATGTATTTGATCACAGTTTGAGTCCCAGACCCAGTGACAAACTCACACTGGATGTGTGTGCATGACTGTCCAAGACCCCAGGAGGAAAATGGAGGAGAGGGGATTGTAGCGTGGAGTCATCCTCCCTAGAGGGGATCATTTCTTGTTTTCTGTCTGTCTTTCTGGTGAGCGCACACGACCTGTAATAAAAACCTCTCCCCCCAAAAAATTAAAATTAAAAATTAAAAATTTTAAAAATGGCAACTCAGTGTCCATGGAAGTTGGGAAAATTTACTCAACTATTTCACTGATGACTTCCTTCAATGTTCTGTTCTTTTTCTGAAACTTCAATTATTTATAGATAATATATTCATATGTAACATAAAAATTAGTAAATATTTAAAATCTTAATTTTATTTTTAAGCCATCTGTTAAAGTTTTTCACTTTTATGAATTGTATGTTAGTTGCTTTTTTAAAAAATATCTTAAAGTTTGGGACCAGCAGTTAGCGTAATGGCTATGTCGTTGGATTCCCATGTAGTCGACTGAGGTTCGCGTCCCAGACCCGGTGGCTTAAAACTCACGCCAGGCGTATGTATGTGCATGCCCGAGATCCCGAGAGGAGAATGGAAGAGAAGGGACTGTGGTGTGGCCATCCCCCCGGGGGGATTTCTCACTTTCTGTCTCTCTGTCTCTGTCTGTCTGGTGAGCACAGACGCCCTATAGCAAAAACCTCTTTAAAAAAAAACATGGCAATCCCTCCTCCTCCATTCTCCTCTTGGACTCTTGGGCACACCCGCACACATGCCCAGTGTGAGTTTAAGCCACCGAGTCCAGGACTCAAACTGTGGTCGACTATATGGGAGACCAGCAATGCAGCCATTACACCATCTGCTGGTCTCTCCATGTGCCTTCTTGACTTCCACAATTTCCTTTTAAATGTCATCTTGTTCTTGTTTCACGACTACAATATCTTCTTTTGCTAAGGATATTACTAATTGCTTTAATCTTTTCTTTTCCTTGCAAAAACTTGTATTATCCAAGTCATTTTTCTTTCCTGCAAAAAAAATGCTGATTTGGTCTCAGGCTTTCAGATTAAATGTTTTCTTCCAGATACCTCAGTAATTTTTGTTAATATGCTCATATTTAGGAATATGACCCAAAAAGGTGACTATAAACAGGGGGCCAGCAGTTGATGTGGTAGTTAATGCACCATACTCACACAAGGCCAACCGCAGCTTGAATCCTGGCCGCAGAGGCTTGAAAATCATGCCAGGCCTGTGTATGTGTCTAAAATCCTAGGAGGAGAACAAAGAAGGGATTGCTGTGTGGCCACCCTCCCTGGCAGGATGATTTCTCACCTTCCTTCCCTCTGTCTCTGGCAAGCACAGGAGCCCTATGGCAAAAAAACTAAAAAGAAAAAAAAAAAAAAAAAGACAAATCACCCACACCCACAAGCATACACACACACAAACACATATGAGGAGTTTGGTTGCAGTTATCAGATCAGGATGATCTGACTAGGTCATTTCTCTGTAAAATCCCTTTAAACAAATTTTAATCTTAGGCCATTTCTCTTGAGCTCTTCAGATTCTGAAGAGAAGGTATTTCCAATCTCTTTTACTATGAAGATATAAACCTAACTAGAGAATTCTGTCCAATTTTCACCTAGTCCTCCTGATATTTATATAGTATCCCTGCCTTCAATGATGCCCATGTGCCTACTAAACCACAAACCCTGTTTCATCCTTTTCAAAAAGTAAATTTAGGCAACCAGCAATTGGAGTAATGGCTAATGTCGCTGGACTCCCACGTAATCAACCGAGGTTTAAGGCCTGGACCCGGTGGCTTAAACTTATGTCGGGCACGTGTACATGCGTAACCAAGATCCCGAGAGGAGAATGAAGGAGAAGGGATTGTGGCACGGCCATTCCCCTGCGGGGTGATTTCTCCCTTTCTGTCTCTCTATCTCTGTCTTTCTGGTGAGCACACATGCTCTATAGCAAAAACCTCTCCAAAATAATTAAAATAAAAATAAAAAGTAAACTTAGGAGAAAACATCAAAGTAAAAAGACCTAATGAACTATTCATAATAGACTTTGAAGAACTCTTGTTTTTAGCCTCACCTTCACCTCTTCTTCCAGAAATAACTGATATACGAATTCCTGACCTTTAGAACAAAGTATGCAATAAAAATCAGTTTTTTTCATAGATTTCCCCAAAGGAATTTACAATTTAGGTTTCATGTGTTTGCCAGAGCACTTAACCACTTTCCAGAATTTTGCTGCTTCTCCTATTCTTGTCTTTGTAGAATATTTGTCTTTTTAAAAAATATCCTTTTATTGTCATTTAATTAGGATTTTGGTGGGTACAGAGCTAGATATATTTATTCAACCCACCATCTCTAATGTGAGGTCTATATTAATTCTTAAGTTCAATAATAAGGTATTTTAGACAAAATGTCACTCCTACATTATAATATTGAGAAAAATCATATCCTCCACATAAAGACTTGAAAAATTAAGCTTAATAATTTGTCTTTATAGTTTTATATATATAAAGTTCTTTGGTTTTTGTTGTTATTTCTATAGGACACAAGCATTTGTCAGAGAAAGATAGAGTGAGAGAGGGGCAAAGTAAGAAATCACCCCCAGTGGGATGGTCACACAATTCCTTCTCTAGTATCCTCTCAGGTTTTGGGGCATGCACACATGTGCACCCAGTATGATTTCCCAAGCCACCCAGTCTAGAACTTGAACCATGCAGCTGACCATGTGGGATCCAACATCTTTAACTCCACACCACCTGCTGGCCTAATACATCGAAACAGTATTATTATCTAGATGTCTAATAAGCTTTTCTTTCCCATTCTTCCTTCTTCCTATTATTTTTCACAAAGTCAATTTTAATGTTTTGTTTTTTTAGACACACTATCAGGTTTTCCTTAATTCGTGTTAAAATAAAGTTAAAGTTTGTTTTAAATTTTTCAAGTGCAGGAACTCATAAAATAGAATTAAACTAAATAGCTACTTAACACAAAGAAGCATATCAAAGAAGTCTATTCTAAAATATACAGGCATTCCGAAAGTTCATAGTTCCTATCCAGACCATATTTAGAGAATGATGCTCTGTACCAAAGACTAGGAAATTACAGCCTACATTCCAAATTTGGCCAACATGACCTGTTTTTATAGTTTTATTACAATACATCCATGCCCATTGATTTACATATTGTTTATGGATGCTTTCAAGCTACAATGACTGAGCTGAGTAGCCCAGAAAGCCTACAATTTTACTAATCTGGGTCTTTACAGAGAGTAGATTAAAAGATGGTCTACATTAAAAGATTCCAGTACATGCTACAAAAATTGTGCAAAGCAATCTTGGCAACCTGTATCAAAATCAAGTAAGTTAAGGGACCAGCAGTTAGCGTAATGGCTATGTCACTGAACTCCCATGTAGTGACCACAGTTCGAGTCGCGGACCCGGTGGCTTATACTCACACCAGGCACATGTGCATGCATGCCCAAGATCCCGAGAGGAGAAAGAAAGAGAAGGGATTGTGGTGCGGACCCGCTAGGGGGTGATTTCTCGCTTTCTGTCTCTCTGTCTCTGTCTGTCTAGCGAATGCACGCACCCTTATAGCAAAAGCCTCTCCAAAAAATAATAATAATAATAATTAAATAGACTTCACTTCTCCAACTAAAAGACTGTCATTAATTTTTTTTCTCATCCCCTCTTGCCCACCAACAGAAGTGGTTTTTTTCTCCACTTTGTTATACTCCCTTTACTTCAACTAAAAAGAATGTCCTGTTTTTTGAGCCAAGCAGTTGTTGTCTTTCCTTATTTCTCTGTTGACTTTTCACAGTTTCCCATCTAAAAAGTATTTGGCATAGATTTTCTGATCATCCCATTGTTAAAGAAGCACATTCAGGCTGAGTAAATTAACTCAAATTCTCTAAAAAAAGCATAATAGAAAAAGAACAAGCAGTAGAATTACCCAAGGGATTAATAAGTACCTAAGGACAGCTTTCATAGAATACTGTAAAATATAAATCTTATTTCTTTAGCCACACAATATTAAGACACCTTCAAATCTGCTAAAAGCTAGGACAACTATACCCAGTGAAGTTATTTTCCATAACACTAGTAACTTTATTCAAATAAAAGCACACAAAGCAGAGAGAAATAGTGGTAGAAAATTCTCAATTTCTAAATTAAGAGAAATTTACATTTATGCAGAAAACACTTCAATATCTAAAACTGGGTATCTAAAAAACAGCACAACTCACAAATAATGTAAGACATTATAAATGCATTTCACTGAAGAAATCATTTGGGGGAAGTTTTTAAAGAATTATAAAGTACAACAATCCCTCTTTTTCATTGGTTACTGGATTGAAAGTCTCAATTTAAACAATATATTCCTTAGCATGAACAGGTTCATATACTAGTCTCCCTGTGCTTGTGTATGTTAAAAATTTCCATGATAGGGAACCAGCAGTTAGCGTAATGGCTATGTCGCTGGACTCCCACGTAGTCGACCGCAGTTCGCGTCCCGGACTAGATGGCTTAAAACTCACGCCGGGCACGTGTGCATGCGTGCCCAAGACCCTGAAAGGAGAATGGAGAAGGGATTGCAGCGTGACCATCCCCCCTGGGGGGTGATTTCTCGCTTTCTGTCTCTATGTCTCTGTCTGTCTGGTGAGCGCACGCGCCCTATAGCGAAAAACCTCTCAAAAAAAAAAAAATTCCATCTAGAAAGTTGGGCTTTTTTAATGTAAAAATCAAAGAAAAATAAGAGGTGAAGTATCAGTTAATTACTAAACATAACTTAGTGGTAGACATCTACGTATCAGAAGAAAAGAGAAAATCTGTAAGAAGAAATACAAGTATACTTTGGTTAATGAAGAATTCACCTAACTATGCACAAGCTGGTTCAAAGTAGGGAGCACACAAATCTAATAAGCAATTTAAAATTCCTATCAAAAATACAATTTTTTTTCTTTATTTTGGAGAGGTTTTTGCTATAGGGCGCGTGCGTTCGCCAGAGAGAGAGAGACAGAGAGACAGAAAGCGAGAAATCACCCCCCAGGGGGGATGGCCATGCCGCAATCCCTTCTCCTCCATTCTCCTCTAGGGATCTTGGGCATGCACGCACACGCACCCAGTGTGAGTTTAATCCACTGGGTCTGGGGCTCGAACCGCGGTCAACTACATGGGAGTCCAGTGACACAGCCATTATGCTAACTGCTGGTCCCTCAAAAATACTTTTAAGAGTGGATTTTAAAAACTCACAGTATAACAGACTGAAAGAATTCTTAACAGAACTTATACTTGTCTCAAAAAAAAAAAGGACAATCATTTAACAGGCTTCTCCAAAATGTCATATACAAATGATTATCTCTGAACTCTACTACTATCAGTTTATAGCAAAGTGAATTTCACCTAATTCAAAGCCTTTAGGTTTCCAATAAGATGAAATTTCTGTGACTTTAAATTATTTATTTTTAATTGCTGTAAGGCATGTGTGCTTGCCAAGGAAGAGAGAGGGGGTGAGGGTGAGAGAGCACCCCCAGGAGTAGATGGCCATGCTGCAATCCCTTTTCCTCCATTCTCCTCTCAGGATTTTGGGGGCTGCGCACATGCGCGCACATGCACACACACACCCCTGGTGTGTTTTTAAGCTGCTGTATCTGTATTCAATTGTACAACTGAATTATACAATTGGCCATGTGGTATCCAGTCACCTTATCACCACACCACTGACTGACCCTCTGTCATTTTTATTTTTATTTTTATTTTTTTTGCTATTGGGCTTGTATGCTTGCCAGAGACAGAGACAGAGAGAAAGAGAGAGAGAGATGGAAAGTGAGAAATCAGTCCCCCAGAGGGGATGGTCATACCACAATTCTTTCTCCTCCAGTTTCCTCTCGGGATTTGGGGCACACACAAGCACCTGTTGTGATTTTTAAGTCAGAGTCCAGCACTCCAACTGCACAACAGGTCATATGGGATCCAGAGCCTTTACCTCCATGTCGCCTGCCAGTCATGTGATTATTTTATTTTTAAAAGCATCTACCATAGATAAAATGCTTTCAAACTAAAATATGAATTGTGATTTTTACGTCCAGGAGCACAACGCTTTCACTTTCTCCGCTGCTACCTAAGATCCCAAATTGATTTAATGCTTCAAAAAGAAAAACTGCTTCGATTCATACCTCTTTCTTCCTCATGTTTTTTGGCAGATGCACTTTTAGGTCTTCCTCTTCCTCGTCTGATATGATCTGAATGGCTGTTACTTCGAGACCTCTTTCTGTTTTCTAAATCTTTATTTACTGTAGAATTTATCTTCTCTCTCCTAACTCTCTCTGTTCGCCTCCTCTTGGCCTCATGCTTGTTTTCTGTATGGATGAATAAAAGTGATATATTTTAGGGCTTAGCAAGAACTATTTGCCCAAGTTCGGATTGTCTTCCTTTTTTCTTTCTAAATAGCACTAGAGTATGGTTACTGGCATATGTTATAAAATTATAACCATAACATATATGGCTCCCACACCCACATATGAGAAAAAAAATTAAACAGAATTCAGATTCACATAACACATGAGGTAAGAGGAAATCATAAGAAAGAAAATAAGTTTCTTCATTTGGTAACTGAATCATAGCCCCTACAAGTTCACACAATTCCACAGTAATCTTTCTGCCATTTTTCTCCTTTTTGTTTCCAAGCTAAAAATGATGAAGTATTAGGAAAGGGGGAAAAAATTCCATTCCTTTTGCCCTCTACCTGAATTACAGGCTGAAATATGTGAAATATGCAGAAACAAAACTTAATCATAATACACTGTTACAATAAAATCAAACAGAAAGTACCCATAGAAAATACAAAAGCAGTAGAAAAGTGGGTAGTTTCACTTTAGTCACATGAAATAATTTCTGATAAAAGAGCATATTGTTCTGTAAATGGAATAGCAACAGGAGAACTGTACTAAATATAGTGATTTTAATCCATGCAAAAAGTCATGCTTCCCACTAAAATAAATCAAAATGCTGGATAAGACAAACAACATGGGTGGTTAGGGCAGCTGGATTCCACATGGCCAGCTATGCAGTCTGAGTCCTGGACCCCAAAGCTTGAGAAACATGCCAGGTGCATGTGTACGTATGTCCAGAATCCCCAAAGGAGGGAGAAGTGGAGAAGAGACTGCAGCATGACTATTCCAACTTAGGGAGTGTTTTCTCATGTTCCCTCTCTTTTCCCAGTGAGCATGTGCACATTCTGGCAAAGTTTAAATAAATTAAATAAATAAATAAATAAATAAAGCACGCAAACAACAGATTTAAGAAAACGAATCCCCAAATGCCTAAAATCACAGTGGTAAAGAGGCAGAATAGAAAAGTTCATATTCTAAGAACTAAAAAGAACTCCTTGAAAGATAAAGTAAAATAACAGCAGTTATCTCTAAACACTGTATCCTTGGAAAATTAGTTAATTCTATACCCAGATCAGATATATGTTAGAGGATACAAAATATTTAATTATCCCAGATAGCAATAAAGTTATCAACAAAAACCTAAGTCCTGTTAAAAGACTCAAACATGGCCCAGTTATGATAGGGTTTTGATGGCTGATACTGCCACTAGAAAGGCTGAGGCTACATGGAAGACCTAGTTATGATTCCTGCCCACCCTAAAGCCAGCATGGTGATGCCTCCTGTAGTTCTAGCAACTCAGAAGGCTGAAGCAAGATCCTATCTAGAAATGAAAGAAATTTTAGAAATGCAAAAGGCCCAGCAGCGTGTACAGGAGGTACCCTATTGCTCTGCTATACTGGAGCTGTGTGAGAAGACCAGGGTTCAGGTTCTGAAACATGTCGGGTGTGCATGTCTGTGGTTCTGGATGGCTGAAAGGCTAGGGGTGGATCATAGTATGACGAGATCTTGTCAAGGATAGTTTTCTGTTTTTATTTCTCTCCCTTCTCCTTTACTGCCTCTCTCTCTCTCTCTCTCATTAAAGAAATAAATGAACGTTAATAAAATAAACCCAAGCACTACCTTGAAAAGGTTCTCACTGACTATTACAGGGCAACTTGGACATCTATAAAAATAAAAACTATAGTAGATTGAATATATGAAATATACTTAAAACCATTAAAATATGACACTAAAACCAAAAACTACTTGGCCACCTTGGGCAGATACTAAAGAACCAACTCATTATTTTGAAAACTTAAATAAAAAGAATAAAGCTTTCATCCTGCTTTTTCTGTTCAAACTGTACCACTCACTGGGAAACCATAGGGCATTCTAAATTAAAGCTACAAATGAAGCAATGACAGAATCAGAATATCACCATTTTTCAACCTCCAATGAACTAAAGGGTCTGCTAACTGAACTAAACATAAACTGCTAATATCATTAAAAGAGAGATAAGCAGACTTTAAGTGCCTCCTGACAAAAGTAAAACATCAATACCTATTAAGCAGTTTTGTTTAAAAAGAAAAAAACATTGAACTCTTATCAGCCCTTAGATCCACATATAACTTACAGGAAAAGGAGAAGTCATTAAAGGAATGTGTTAACCTACATCATGGGGACACAAACAGCACAAAAGGGAAAGGTGATACAGTTTCTTCAACCTATAACTTGCAAGGAAATAAAGAGAGAAAACAACAACAGATGAAAAGAAATAAAACATAATATAACATCAACTTGCAATTTGTGGATCTCATTTAAAATCTACTTTCTAAAACTGTAAGAACATTTATGCGAAAACTGAGGTTTAATACCAGTTGGTCATCTGGTACTATGGAATTATTGTTAATTTTTAATGTTATAATTGAATTATGCTTATATTCTTAAAGATCTATCTTTTAGAAACACAATGAAATATTTATAACAAATTACATAGAATTTGATTCAAATTAACATGCAAGGGAAAGGATATGAATGGGACAGGGCTGCCTATTGTCACTTTTGTGTCTGCTTAGAATTTCTTTGGATTTTTTTTTTAAAACAGGTTTTTGCTATAGGGCGTGTGTGCTCACCAGAAAGACAGAGAGAAACAGAGAGACAGAAAGTGAGAAATCACCCCCAAGGGGGGATGGCCACGCTGCAATCCCTTCTCTTCCATTCTCCTCTCAGAATCTTGGGCACACACGCACATGCACCCAGCGTGAGTTTAAGCCACCAGGTCTGGGACTCGAACTACGGTCAGCTACATGGGAGTCCAGCAAAATGGCCATTACGCTAACTGCCGGTCCCTGTATGCTTAGAATTTCTTTAAAAAGAAAAAAATAGTTAAAAGAAATAGTGGTAAGTAATTTTTACTCAGTATGCCTCTTTTTTTTTTTTTTGGAGAGGTTTTTTTTCGCTATAGGGCGCGTGCGCTCGCCAGACAGACAGAGAGAGACATAGAGACAGAAAGCGAGAAATCACCCCCCAGGGGGGATGGTCACGCCGCAATCCCTTCTCCTCCATTCTCCTCTCGGGATCTTGGGCACGTACGCACACGCGCCCGGCGTGAGTTTTAAGCCACCGGGTCTGGGACGTGAACCGCGGTCGACTACGTGGGAGTCCAGCGACATAGCCATTACGCTAACTGCTGGTTCCCTCAGTATGCCTCTTAAAGTTTAACTCAGAATTTAGGTTTGTACCTTCGGCTAGTTACTCATCTCTGCATATTTCTTTATACCCAAACTTTTCGGAAGGTGTCTGTACTTTCTTCCTTCTTGATTCTCACCTCCAATGCATTCCAATTCACTCCAGTAGTTTCCAACTCAAATTGATCATCAGAACAAAAATCTGTTATTAAATCCAACAGACATTACTTTTTCTCATCTTACACCAGTTTCCAAATATTCAACAGACGTGACCACTCCTTTCCTTTAAAATATTTCTTTCTTTTTTTTTTTTAATTTGTTAGAGGGCATGTGTGCTCGCCAGAGAAGACTGGGGAGGGTGATGCCATAAGAAAGCATCCCTCCATGGGGGATAGTCACACAGTAATCCTCTCTCCACCATCTTAGCCTCCTTTCAAGATTCTGGGCATGCACACACATGCACCAGTCCAAGACTCTAACCATGCAGTTGGCTGGCCATGTAGGGATCCAGCTGCCTTAACCAACTACTCCACTGGCTGGCCCCCTTAAAAGTATTCCTTCACCAGACCTACAGCCTCTCTAGTTTTCCTATCTCATCAATCATTCCTTTCCCTCTTTGCTTTGTTCCCTTCCCCCAGGTACCCTCCCAATCTCTAATGTTAAAGCCTCAAAACTGTCTTGAGCCCTTTTCTCTTATCTTACACTTATAAACCCACAGCATTGAACACTATTGTTATGATGGCTCTAAAGTTTACACCATTTGTTCTGATCTCTATACTAACCTCTGGACTGCCTTACTGACTTCACTTGAATGTCTCACAAGCATTTCAAATTTATCAAAAAAAGAAAAGAAAACCAAAACCCTCTCAACCCCCTCCCTACAAATCTGCTCATCTTCCAACCTCATATTAGTAAAGGGCACCAACCAGTTGCCCAAGTCAAATAACCTATAATCATTTGTCTGATCTTGTTTCCTACACCATCACAAAGATCCACAGACACGTCTTGCAAAATATATCTATCATCTCTTCATTTCTCTCCATTTCTACAGACAACATCCTAGCCAAATCTAATCTCTACATTCCAGCCAATATTGTCTTAACAATAATGAAGTATATAATTACTTTTTTTTTAAACCACAATCCCTTTTTTTAAAAGAATTATTTAACTTTGTTACTATTATCATTATTATTTTGCAGTTTGATCAGAGAGAGAGAAAGTAAGAAAGCAAGCCACTAGGTCCAAGACTTGAACCGTGGTCAGCCATGTGGGAGTCCAGCACCTTTAACCACCATGCCACTTGCTGGCCCCTATATATTACTCTTCTAAATCCTTTCAGTAACTTTTCAATGTATTTAGAATAAAATCCATCTCTATAAAATATGCCCCCCATTTCAATCTCATACCACGAACCACTTCATTCATTCTGCTACAGACATGCCCTTCTCTCTCTCTTTTTTTTTTTTTTTGGAGAGGTTTTTGCTATAGGGCATGTGCACTCACCAGAAAGACAGAGACAGAGAGACAGAATGTGAGAAATCACCGCCCCAGGGGGGATGGCCACGCTGCAACCCCTTCTCCCTCATTCTCCTCAGGATCTTGGGCATGATGCACGCCAATGCGCCCATGGTGAGTTTAAGCCACCAGATTCAGGATTCGAACCGCGGTCGAAAACATGGGAGTCTAGCGACGTAGCCATTACGCTAACTGCTAGTTCCATGCCCTTCTCTTTTTTAAAGAGTAATTTTATTTTATTTATTTATTATTATTTTAATTTGTTATAGGCAAATTAAAAGTGCT